CTCCCAGCAGGCAAACTGCAGTGTTTCACACTCTGAAGGAAGAAATGTGCAAATTGTGGAAGAAGACGGAAGCAGACAACAGATCTACTGACTTGAAGAAAGAGATTCAGTTCATATTTGATTAGACTTGTGTGAAATTGTGTATTTGAAGGGTTGTATCCTTTAATGACGTGAATCATCACTGCAATGTACAATAAAAAGAGGAGAATAATGATCAAATGGTGTTTTAGTGGCTCTTGTGGGCCCCCTGCTGGTCAGAAGAAATGGGCAGGAAGCAGTTGGACCTGTTTCACCCAATAAATGAAATGTTCCTGGAAACCCTACTAAAGCAAATAAAGACGAAGACAACGGAGCATATTTTGTCTGAATAAAATAAACTGATGAGGTTCTGTGTTTTCTTTCATAAACAATTCACCTTTCTCCTTTCTAAACTCAGTTGTTCATATTTATTCCTCATTGTGCTTTCCAAAGGGAGCTATTTTAAAGGTTTTATCTCTGGGACTTTTTTTTTCGTTCTTTTTTTTTTTTTCTTTTTTTTTTCTCTTATATTTTTCCCCTTTTTATTCTTCCTTTTTCTCTACTTCCCCCCCCCTTGTTTTGTTCCTATTTGGCTGCTTGACCATTACAGGACCCCTAAGCCTGGTCTGTACTTCACAAATGGTTTAGTACGCTTTATGAACAGTTTTTCTCCAAGGCGGGTTCAGATTAGGGAAATACTGACGACATGCAGCAAAGTTGTGCTGATGTGAAGAACAACTGTAATTTTGATGGACTTTTACATCTGTTTTACATCTGTAGATGGACTTTTACATCAGATTAATCTCCAACATATGACAGTCACTCCACACTTCATTCCTATTTTGATATCATTAAGTAGAGTTTAGTGTGATCATTATGTAGTTGCAAATGTGGAGAACAAAAACGTACAAGTTTTTTATGTAAATTGTTAATGTTAAGCTGACTTTTACCTCATTTCCTTCTACTAAAATAACAAGAATGTGCCACATTGCTTCTCCCCTTTTTTGCTTTGTGAGTTGAACACAATTCAACTGTGACCACTCTGAGATAGCAGAAACTATACACAAAAGTGGTTCAATAGCTTAAGGCAACTGAAACCTATCAGAGCTGTGACTGTTTATAGTTTATCTGAAAGTAAAAAAAATTACAACCAGCAGAGCCTCTGTTCATTGCAGCTGGACTCAGGGAGTAAAGTCCCTCTGAGCACATACGTGTTGGTGATGTTAAAGAAAGATAATAACAAACCAACAGTTTTTAGTCTGTATTTTACCAGCTCCACATTTGAGTGATAAAGAAATAAAAATGAAAACGTTAATTTTTATTTCTTTATCACTTAAATGTGTTTATCATAGTACAGAAATCCCAACATAACAATCAGCTGCCTTTTCTCCAGCTGCTGTTTGGCTGCAGAAACATCTGGATGTGAGTCTGGAAACAGTTTTTCCCTCCAGCTGCTCCCTCCACCAGATGTTCTGTTTAACACGGTAGTGATCCATCCATCCATTATCAATACCGCTTTCCCTGATGGGGTCGCGGGGGGGCGGAGCCTATCCCAGTGGTCAATAGGTGAGAGGCAGGGTACACCCTGGACAGTCCCCAGTCCATCGCAGGGACACACAGAGACACACAAGGACCAACAACCACACACACTCTCATTCACTCTTAGGGGAATTTCCCCAATCTCCAACAACCTAACATGCAGGTTTTTGGACTGTGGGAGGAAGCCGGAGAACCCGGAGAGAACCCACAGACACAGGAGAACATGCAGAACCACCCAGAAAGGTCCTGGTTCCCCCGGG